GCCATATCAAGACTGCCAAAAAAGCAAGTTATTCAAAATCTAGCAACCATGTCACCTTTTTTAACGATATATCTCTAAATAACTAAAGCAAATTTTTACTCCAAATTCACCAGAATTACATAATAACATTAATATCTTATGAAATACGGCAGATTTGAGCTTAGAAATTATCTAATTTATTTCTTTTATTGATAACAAAATTATCCGTTTGAAAATAGAATAACATGTAGTAAGCAGCTGCAAACTTTCTAACCGAAACTAGAGCAGGCATACAGCTCGAGATTGTTATTGTTTACCTTTCTACTGAAAACACCATCCATTTAAACCATTATTGGCACTGTGACGCCACCCCGAGATTCCCTTGCAGTGCCTCTTCACTGTCTTCTTTTCAGCATCGTTTTGATAGTATTGCTCAAGATCGTCTTTAAGCTGCCTCTGCCATTTTGTCAACCTTGTATTGAGTAGTAACGTATGCGCCCATCCAGGACGCGACTTACGCTAATTGGGGCCCCGGGGCTCAAACTTCTTTGGGGGTCCCCTCTGCTTCACTTTTCCAGTAATGAAGAACCAAACTTTATGGAGGTATTTAAATTTTTCACCTCATTATAGATAGCAAGAAAATTGACTAGTACCTAAAATAGCTATAAAATCTCCCCCCAATTTTCAAACAAAATATCGTTCTGTCCATTTCATTCAAAGTGGTCATCCACCCACTTACTAACCGCAGTCTGTGCTGCTTTACTTTGATGTTCTACTGGATACCGTGCATTTATGATCAGTCCACTGCGGAACTGTTATATTGTAAACACTACAAGTATAATAACATTAGATGGCTCGCGTTTTCAATTACTGATGTAAAAATAAATAGGAGGTAGCTAACCGTTCGGTTATACGAGTTTTAATCATTTAAATAATGATGTTTCCTGCTGCTGCTTGCAGCGTCATCTATATTTCGTTAATGAAACTTATGTTGCTTATAAGTCAATGATAACTGATGTTTACAGAAATAGGCAGCAGGAAACATATAACTACTTAGCTTGGCTTACATGAATTGTGTTTATGTTTTTTTCATGGATCCTAAAGCGGTAGGATATCCAGCTCGCGCTTAAAAAACGGAAGCAGATGATCTTTTTCACCCTCCCAAACAAACTTTGTACCTAGCTACAGAGCTCCGCCTAACAGCCAGAGTAAAAGCTCTGGCAAAAACAAGTTCTGGGTGAGGGGGAAGAAAAGTCTCCGTCCCTCTCCTCATCAGGGGATGATTACTAATTTTAAGTACTGTAAAAACGTTTAAAGAAATAGTCCGTTTCATTTAAATAATAATTAAAGAATCTGTTGATTTTCTTTTTTACGTAATTGATTCGATTGATTTTTCAGTGATTTCAAAGAATTTACATAAGATTAAGCAGGCCAATATATTTTTTTGAGATACATTTNTTTCAATCTGTTAACTACATGTTCTAATAAAAATCTGCAAGTATTTAGAATTACTTTTTATAATCTCTAATTGTTTAGAAATCACCAACTGATAAACAAATTAAATAGATAAGAAGGAAAGAATACACTTGTGGATCAAATTGGAAGATTTAAAACAAAATTTATTTACATTGATGTTTAAAAAACCATTCTAGAAGAGAATATCCTTACGATGTTATTGAAAGCATAAAATAAGTAAAAGTTTAATAGCATAAAAGTCAAACAAACGAAATCATAATTAAAAACTTACATTTAGGGACTTAAACAAGCTGATACTAGGATGCTGCTAAAAAACAATATTAATATTAGCGATTAAACAATAAATTTATAATTAACACGTGCAGTAATAACATGCACGTGTATTACCAACAAGTGAAAAATTCCAACACCTGGGGATTGAGATGCCACCTATCGGCAGTTTTGCATCCGCTATCCATAAAATTCTGACGAATCACATTGTGGGGGGAATTTTACATTAAGCTGGGTCTCCATAAGATACTCTAGACTCCATGGTTTTTTTAACGTTTGATATTTTACGCTGCGTAAACAAAAAAATCCGTATTTTTTTGTAAAATAGTTAGAGAAAACGAAACAATGTGCTTTTAATTAAAAACGATGTTAATAACATGATGAATTTAGAGAACTATATCACTTGCTGTTTATTTGTAACTTTTAATTGAAGCAAAGTGATTGTTGTCAACTGAATTCAGGTAATTGCTATTTAGATTTGTTTTTTCATCCAACATTTATTAAATGTATACCTACTTGTTTAAAATATGGTTTTTTAAGGTATATTTAAATAATTTGATTTGCTAAGCTTATGGTAATAGAAATTATTTAGACTATAAAATATGGTATCTATACAAAAAGAGTCGTCAAGTTTTGGTGTTGCCCAATTTGTGGCAGATTAGGAGCGTATAAATAAAATAAACCTCATCAGGGATAAAACTTAAAGGTATAGCTTATTTTCACCTACAGGTAAACCTTTCCTACCGATAAAATTTTTTAGACTTTTAAAACATGCTTTATTTAACTAATTAAATAATAGAAATGTCGGATATTAAAACTTATTTCAAGATGTTTTACGTTTATACAACATTATATGTATAAATTGCTCCTTTAGTATCAATAGAGATTTGAGGCTGTCGCTGTACAGATTCTGGAAGCAACTTGAGAGTCTCGAAAGTTATTTTGTCTCCTACATTTTAATTCCAAGTTAATTTTTCATTGTACTCCAGTATTTTCTCTGTAAGATTAAGATCAGGAAATGAAGCATGCCACTTTGAGATATTTATTCCATTATCATCCAGCCATTTTGTAGTTTGTCTGCAAGTGTGAGGATACACCCAGACAGTGTCCGAGAGCCCCAGGCACTCAGGGGGCCCTTGAGAATCTAACTTTTAATAAATTGTATTAAAGAAAGTTAAGAATAATAGAACCTTATATATGTTTTTAAAATAAATATATTCTGCTGTATAATGTGTGCATTTTTTTTCCTAAAAATAGTGCAAACACCAATAATTTAAATAGTTTATCATCAAAAAAACTTAAAAAGGGAAGCTAAATTTATTTTTCTACATTCCAATTAAAATTTTTAGTACTGGGGCATTGAAAGATATTTCAATAACTGTTTAGTTTTACAAAATAATTCATACCTTTTGAATTTTTTTAAATTTGTTATGCCTTTATGTTTATTTAGTTTAATTATTTTAATTAACTTCCAAGGTTTCGGAAAATTGTTTTATTATTTGAGGATTACAGAACAGCTGGTTAGCATCTCAAATGTTTCTTTATTTTATTTAATATTTTTTTTTAAAATTATGTATAGTTTAAATATGCTTTGTTTGAGTTTGGGAGGCAATCAAAAATGTGTTTAAATTTGTTAAAAATTCTAGCATCATATCTTAAAAATGGTTTATTTTATGTACATGATGTGTTTTAGCTCGTTTTGAAACATTATGGTATGTTATAGGGGTTGAAAGCATTTTTGTGCCCGGGGGCCCTCAATGCTATTAAGACGGCCTTGTATGGAACAGAAACTTTTATTATAAATTCATTATAAAAAAATAGGGCCTGAATTTCTATGTGTTGTCCTGCTATCATTTACTGCAAAATTTGCTGGCAACAGAGTATTTGGTAAATCAATAACTAGTTTTATATCTTTTCAAATCTGCTAAGTGTAAAGAAATATATATTGGTGGTATATATAAATATCAATTCAGAGCAGGGTTGGCAAGTTTTTGACACATGACGGTTTTTACCGGTTTATACCATGGTTTTTACCGTCATGTCAAAAACTGTCAAAAACCCATAGTTTTGGTAAAACTGTATTTTTATTTGAGTTTAACTGCTTATAATTTAAAATTAATTCATTTTTGGGCAATAAAATTAGAAAAAAAGTTGTTAAAAGATATTTAAGAACAGATTCTTGCATTTTCCCAACATGATTATATCAAAACATACTATTTGAAGTAAAATATTAGGATACTAAACAAAATTTTCAACATTTCCAAGCATCATTTTGTTTGGCATATTACATTACTGAAGAATGTCAAGTCATTCTTGACTTAGAGTTTGTTAGTAGTTACAAGTTTTGAAAGTTTTGTTTAGCTTATTTCTAATATTTAAGAAATGCCAAATTTTAAATTATTCTTTTTAGTTCTTGAATTTATTAATAGTTCCAAGCTTTTTTGTTTGTTTGCTTATTTCTAACAATTAAGAAGTGCAAAATTTTGAATCCTTTGCAAATCAAGCTATAATGATAAAAGCAAGTATCACTATTTTCAATAAGAATATATTACAATATTTCTATATGAATGTATATCCTTCTATAAGAATACATGTATATAGTTGCAAAATCAATATCAATCATTTACAACATCCATTTATAAAGGAAATTATGTGAAAATAATATATTGTCCGCTATATACCATAAATTATAGAAAATAGTAGGTTTTTGACAGTTTTTACCGGTAAAAACACGGTTTTTACCACTGTCATGTCAAAAACCAGTTTTTGACAGCAAAAACCCAACCCTGATTCAGAGTTTTATAAAAATTAAACCACTTTAAAAAAAATCAGTGATTTTTCAAATATTTTTGTGAGAATTTGTGTTGACAAAAGAGTTTACACTAATTGATCGAGTTAAATAATAAATTAATTAAATAATATATTATATTATTAAATAAAAAGCATATGAATTATAAAGAAAGCTTTTATACGAGATATTGTGTTCATTTTATCAAAGTTTTATACGTTAGTAGAGAGGACTGTAGGTTTATGTCCCTTTCAATGATTTGAGATCTCTTAAAGTCCCTGCAATTATTTAATCTTTTGTAAAGTCTTTTTGTTAGCATTTAGTATATTTAAGAATTATTTTTTTACGTGTGAAATTTTACGAACTATTATTGTAAAATTTTATTTCGTTCCCCTCAAAATTTAGGCTCCTGCTAAACCCGGGCTAAATTTGGTGAGGATTGACTAGCATTGTCTTGTAACAAAAATCTATCAGGGTTAAGGATCTTTTTTAATTTTTCAGAACTCCAGTAATTATTTTTTCGTTTTAATCGTGATATTCCATGTTATTGTATTATTTTTTCGTGATAATCATAAATGCTAATAATTTGCTGAGAAAATCCTGTTTTCTTTGAACCTCCTTTGTTATTTTTTATACACAAAAATGTATCTTTACTCTTATTTTCCAGTCATTTCCGTCTGCTTTTAGATGTCATGAATACCCATTTAAAGTTTATGCCAATGTATATTTTTCTTCAACTTAATTCTTAAATCAAATCAAATTTTTAAATGAAATATATTTTTTAAACAAAAAATATTGTTTTGTATTGAATAATTGAGTAGATTTAGTTCTCTTATCTAACATCTTTTATATTCAAAATAAGGTTGGGATAAAAAATCAACAAAGATGCAAAATTTCAGAAGTCTCTCTCTCTTTTTTTTATTTTATTAATTTTGCACTGTGTATACGAGCTTGCAAAATCTCTAAATTTTCCATGTCTTCATGCTGGACATGTTAATCTATGAAATACATCTTTTTAAAATACATATCAATGAAAACATGAATGTTTGTATATAAATGTGACTTTTCATTTAAAGTAGGAATGGCTATTTAATATTCATTGATAAAAGAATGTTTTTGTTCTAAAATCAGCAAAAATTCATTTTAAAACAGATTTTTTTTTTTAACTTCCAGTATTTTTGTTATTTGTACAATTTTAGACAAGGAATTGCATTGGTCATTTTCCCTTTTTATTGATTTAATGAAGGTAGTGATAGTTGTTTTCCATGTACCTAAATTATCATTAGTTTTTGCTTAAATGTACAGATTTTTTTTTTGAAGTAATTAATTATAAAAAATGTCTGCAGAATTTGAGTATCTGTGCCAATTTATCTGCGCACATGTGTCTATAGTCTATGTTATTTAACTGTGTTTACTTCAAAAATCTACTGTCTTACAGGGGTCTGTCCAGGCCAAATTTACTATCGTTCAGAGGTACTTTCACGAATTCAATTTTAGAAAAAACGGTAGTTTCACAAATTCAACTTTAAGAAAAATGGTAGTTTCACAAACTAAATACTTTTTCTTAAAATTTTATTTTTGTATTCTTAAGGAACGATAAATTTTTATTTTTACTATGTTTTTGTGTTGATTTTTTAATATAATTTTTAATTTTTCACAAATTATGTTTAAATTTTCACAAAATAGGTACCTCTCAGAAAAACCTAGACAGACCCTTGGTCTAGATTATTTTTTCAAGGATGTAGTATGCTATACTATTAACAAAGACTTGCGTGTGAAATGGGAATAAAAGAAAAAGGCCACAGATCCTAGGTTAACTAAGACTGCCAAATACTTTCCTTTGTTGCGGAAGATTTCAAGCTTTACATTGTTTGTTTCTAAATATTTTAGAGTGAATAACTTTTTATCTCCAAGTTCACGTCCTGCAGATATCTCCGGTAACTGTCTGTTCTAACTGTACTTGCTAATCCGCTGTCTAAGTTTATAATCACTAATATTATTGGCGAAACATTTTTGATCTAAATTAATCTTGGTAATCCTATGAAAAATTGCTATTTTCAAAATTGCTAATAGCTAAGTAGTTTAAGTTTTAATGATAAAAAGTTTCTACTTATAAGTAAAACATATTAAGTCAAGATTTTTCAACTGTAAGTTAGATGTTTTTTTTTTTTTTTTCCTTATCTAAAATATTAGTTCTTAGGAAAATTTCTGTGTCTGCACTGCCATAAAAGATGGCAGTATGAAGGATAGACTTGACTCAGATTGGTATAAACTTGAACTTATTTTCTTTGCTTCTAGAATGATTCAGGGATCATTTTTGTTCCTTTTTGCAGCAGATTTTGTCCGACTGAGCATGGCAAATGTTTTTTTTTTTTTGGTTTTTGGTTCAAAGTTGCTTCTAATTAAAATTTTTGTTTCATTTTTAGTTAACAGTGAACCTAAATTTGCAAATCTAATGTAAATATTAAAAATTCATAAAATGTTTATTTTATTTATTTATTATTATTATTTTTTAATAAGAGCAAATTTGAAGGTGAAAGCTGAAATTTTTTTATGCCCTGCTAACAGCTCTACAATAAATTGTTATCTATAAATAAAAATTTTTTTCTTCTTAGATCGATGAAGATTACTACTGTTTTAAACTGAAATCTTTAAAAAATTTTTAAACGTATAATAAAATAGAACTAAATATATGGTTCAATATTAATTTTTGAAAGAAAAATTCTAAATATTTGTAATTAAAGTACAATGAAAATAATAAATTCTCTCTTAGAGCTTAGCTTTTTATTCAAAGCATAGCTTTCTCACTTATTTTGACCTAAATTAATACAAAAGTGTGAAAATGTTTAAACCTTTGACACAGATTTTTTATTAAATTTATTGGTAAAAATAAAAGTTGAATGAAATAACATTTCAGGTGTAATAACATTATTTTGAACAAAATTTTCAAAATTAAGTTTATTATTAATTTTGAATCCCTGAACTCTTAGCTTTCTAAACATACTTTACTTTTGTCTGTACTCTAATTACTTACAAAGTTATACCAATTTTGGTGGAAGGTGATAATGGTGGATATAGTACTAGTGATTTTAAGTCTTCAAATGCGTTTATCTCATAATCAGGTTTTTGACATATTACAAAACCTTAAACACTATCTCATGTTTTTAAAATAATTGTCTACAATTTTTCATGAGTGTTTATGGTTATAGCACACATGTTTTGAACTACAGGATAAGAGCAATGCAGAATTTCCTTTTATGCATGACTACCCTAACTTAGTTGTATATGCACTTATTTTTAACAATGCTTCAAAACATAGTTGATTATGTTCTAAATAAAATCCTCAAATGATTTTTCATCTTGTGTGATAGAATATTTTTAGTGTTTAGCGGATATTCAAAAATGCCTTATTTAACCTGAAAATGGTCATTTAATAATAATTTTGTTGTTGCTAGTTTTAAATTCTACGTACAAAGTTACGAAGAATTCTATTTGAAACTTTTCTTGTGATGTGTGTTAGCTTGAAGATATTTTTTTAAAAATCCTTTTTCTGAAAGTGCATTTAATGTATTTGATTTCTATGCTGTTTCATCTATGCAGCATGCGAAGAAACAGCCATAACTTTGATTCTAAAGATCAGAGAACAAAAAATTAAGATATGGAGGGTTAATGAACAGAATTTCAAGTATAAATGATAAAAAATTTATATTTTCACTCAGTCGGATACTTTAATAGCTCTGTTTGATCAGACTGTCTAAAGTAATTGAGATATTCATCTTTAACGCAACATACAATAGGCTTCCAATTATTTGGCTACTGACTGTCCAGTCAAATAAAAAATTTTAATGTAGAAACTTTCTGCTAGGGTAAATAAGGGGGAAATGTAAGTAATCCTATGTATACACTCTATAACAAAAAAATCGACGCTCCAAGAAGGAGTTGTCCAATTGAAACGAAAATTGGTGGATAGGAAGACAATGTACGGAATAGTAAATGATTAAAATTTCAGAACAATTCAATAATTTATTGCAGAGTTACAGTAACAAGTTCAATAAGGTGTTGACCCGCATCTAGCCTGGATACAAGCTGTCACACGGCAAGGCATAGACCGATAAAGCTACCGGGTGGTTTCTTGCGGTATTTCCTGCCAAATTCGATCCAATTGTCGAGCGAGGTCATCAACATTCCGTGCGAGATGCAATCGCCTTCCCACCATATCCCAGGCATGCTCGATGGGAGAGAGATCTGGTGATCTGGCAGGCCAAGGAAGAGTTTGACAGGCTTGCAGACAGTTCATAGCAACACGTGCCGTATGTGGTCTGGCATTGTCCTGCTGAAAAACCAGCCCAGGGCGCTGCAAAAGGAACGGTAGCAAAACAGGTCTTAGAACTTACCGCTGTGCAGTAAGTGTACCTCTAATGACAACCAAAGGGGTCCGACTGTCAAAGGAAATGGCACCCCAGACCATAATGCCTTGTTGAGGGCCGGTGTGACGTGCAATAGTGAAGGCAGGATCCCCCCTCTGCTCTGTGTGTCTCCAAACACGTCTTCGATGATCGTCAGGACACAGTTGGAAGCNCAAAGGAAATGTCACCCCAGACCATAATGCCTTGTTGATGGCTGGTGTGGCGTGCAATAGTGAAGGCAAGATCCCCCTTCTGCCCTGTGTGTCTCCAAACGCGTCTTCGATGATCGTCAGGACACAGTTGGAAGCAGGATTCGTCGCTAAAGACTATACGTCCCCAGTCGGCATCATTCCAGTCTGATCGAGCCATGCACCACTGTAATCTGGTTCGATCAAAGCAATCGGATGATTGCTTCTTGGTGCGTCGATTTTTTTGTTATAGAGTGTATTTTGATTCTTCCTTATCATAAATTTTCACATTTGTGTAGTTTATTAATGGAATTTGAGTAATTTTGCTGTAATAATTTTATTTTTTTTGCATTGTAATCATTAATCGTAATCGTTTTGATTGCATGAGATAATGGGTAGAAAGTCGAACTTTGCCTTATCCAGCTTACTTTGCTGTCACAGTGGACTGGATAGTCGGTTGTCTACTGTAGTTTGTTTTAGCCGTTGTGGTATTAAGCTTGACGTCTTTCCTTATAAATTTCCTTTGAACTTTTTCAATAAAATTTTCTCCTCATAAAATTAATATCGAAACTTTGTCTTCCTTATAGTAAAACTTTCTGTTCTATATTCGTATAGCTTAAAAGTTAAAACTGAATTATTGTGCCTCTGCACTCAGTTAGTGATTCTGTCCTCAACCTTTTTTTGGCTCATTTTTATTACTGGTGCCTTTCTCACATGCTTGAAAACAGTGTCAAATATTGCAAAACTATTCATTTTAAGTTCACTTGTATTCTGGTTATATTTAACACAAAACATGCTTTTCATGAATACCTTCTGTTCTGTATGTAATGTTATCCCCTAGGCAAATGTTATGTTATGCACCTGATGCTAATAACGGAACAATATATTGCAACCCCATGAAATTCGATGTCCGCTTGTATTACGGTCTATTTTAAGCAAAAGTATTGAGTGTATAGAAAAAAAGATTACAAAAAATGTTCTCTGCTTGCTAACATCTTGAATGAAAAGAATTGTGGTTACTTGTTAAACCACTGAAGCACTCTATAACTGAAATATTTCTTTTTCTTTCATATCTGGCATAAAATGTTACTGGTGGCTATAAAACAGGGAAAAGTTATGGAATTTAATTAGTATGAATTTTCGTGGTAATTTTAATAGAATGCTTACAAACTCAGTGATCAAATTCATTTGATCCCTAGTGGCAGCTTGAAGCCCATCGAGCTACAGATTGATGGGTGCTAACTTGTCGGGAAAGTAAAGGCAGTCTGTGCGCAGTACTGACCACATTGCTTCAATCGCGTCATTGCTCACAAAACTGTGAATCCTTAGCTTCAGTGAACCACCTGACCCGCAATGGGCTGTTGCAAGAATGCTTTACTTTTTCAATTAAAAAGTCAAGGAATATGAATAAATTTATGTTTGAGGTTCCTAAATATTTGTTATATTTCTAAAATATAATGGTTTTATAATTGTTTTTTTTTTTAAAAATTGGTTATTCTAATGTCATGTATATGAGTTTCGTAATAAATTTTATTCTACCGAATAGGCATAGCTGAAAAAATAATGTTTAACAATCATTGCTCAACTTCACAGCCTTGTAATTTTGAATATAATTTAGGCATCTAAGGAGCTCTCGGATCAGGCATTACCATAAACTAATCTTTGTGCAGAACTTTTTGATAGAGCTTACCAGTATTTTTGTTGCACGAAGGAAAAAACCACCAAAATCCCATACAGTTGACTAGACAGCAAGTTAATTATAATCCAAGATCTGTCTACCGCTGAGGGTACTTTAAATCATCACTGAAGTTTGTTCAAGCTGGGAACCAAATTCATATTGACCAATGGTTGCTGGAGTGTGAATCGGAATCGAGCACTCTATCCAAGACAACTCTTTTCTATTGTGTGGCTTTCCTGATATTTTTTGTAAGTTTAGAAGCATCAGAACAATTCAAGTAATCTCAAAATAAATAACATATTTGAATTCTATGTCCCAAAATCATACAATAAAGTTTTGTTCACTATCAAACCCTTATGTTATAATCAGCCATTTCTTTTCATTTATGTCCTTAATTATATACATTCACTCCTTATTATATCCATTCACTCCTTATTATATCCATTCATCAATTTATATACTTAACTAAACTACACTAGGTGTTTTAACAGATTTTATCCTTCTGTGGCTAAAAGTGAAATTGAATAACATTAACTTATATTTTTTTTCAATTAACGCTTATGTTTATCTTTAATAAATACATTCTTTTCTTTTATGTTTCAGATATTTCACGATGAATAATTTCAATCGGTTTCCTTCTTCATCACCTAGGCCAATTTTTCCTGCCTATGATAGAGATTATCTATCCCGTACTTCTAATCAATCACCATTTGAGCAAACACATCACCATTCAAACAAGTTTGATTTGGGTAGATCAATTTACAGTGCAGGTGGATCTGTGCCAATGCCTGGAAGTACTAGGGACTTTTCTGGTTCATTTAACACGCAGCGATTCCAGTCTCCTCAAGAAATGCATGCCAAATATCTTTCTAAAGACTATAAACATGGGTCTGAAACTAGACTACCTCCTGAGTTTTCTGAAGCAAATGCTAGGAAGGGTCTTGAAAGACAAGAAAACGATCATTTTCCTTCTCATTCTCCCCCAAATGCATTTCTAAATCACTCGCAAAGCAAAGTTCGTGATTATCGAGATAATTATTTAGATGATAGAGATCATGGTATGTTTGAAAATAATTTTAGCCCCCTCAATACTCGTTTCAAAAGAATTAATGTTCCTCCTGCAACCAATGAAAGAAAATTAATTAACCCTGTTAATTTTGAAAATGATCGAAATTTTATGTCTCAAAACTTTAACAATTCCTTGAAGGAGACAAACGATGTTCAAAGTGCAAAACTGCCCGGTGAATCTATTTTGATGCGAGTTCAAGAAATACAAAACTTGCAAAATTTACTGAAACTGAGTAATGATCTGTCTTTAATCGATGAAATTTCTTCAAATAGCTCTCAACATTCCCCAGCTGTTTTCGATGAAAATTCGATTGGAAAAAATATCGACAGAAATATTAAACAGCATAACAACTTTGCCTCAGTGAAAGACGCTTTCAAAAATGCAGAATATAGTGAAGAATCATATAAATGTGAAAACTCCAAAAGTAAATTTTTCGAAACTTTCAAATCAACGAAATCACTCAGTGATGCAAAAATTTTAGGCGATAAGAAATTTGTAAAAAATAACCGATGTGATATTCAAGAGAATGACTTATACAGCGATTCTCTACAAGTCCCAAAAAAAGTAATTGAAAATAGAATTACCGAAATGTTGACTGATATTCCTAAAGTTTCACGACACACAGAACCTGTATTTTCCACTAGTTTCTTATTTGAGAAATCACCAAGTAGTTGTCCTATTAAAAAAGATGATGATGAAGACTTGTATTCATCAATTGATCAAAAAACCTCCAATAACGATCCCTATATTAATCCTGACTTACATTCAGAGTGGTTCCAGTCTCCAAAATCACAATTACGACCTACAACATTCAGTTCAAAATTAATTGAAGATGCTGATTGGTCTACTAGTAGAACAATTCCATTTTTATATGAAACACCTGAGGATAAACTGGTTAATAAATTGAAAGGAGAAGCTTCTGTGTTTCAGGTATGAAATGAATTTTGTTTAAATTTTCTTCTTTATTGAGATTAATTAAACGAAATAATTAAGTTACTTTTACCAATGGTCCCTTAAATTTTTTAGTAACACTGCCTGATTTGCTGAACGAAAATTTTTTAATTTATCCCTTAAATTTTTTTAAAGTTGTATATTATTTTGGTTTTATGCTATTTTAATCCATACATATATGTGGTGGCGTTGATGGCCCAGTGTTGTGGCACAGAGAAAATCGGGCAGGATGGAAGGATGGTCAGGGGTCTGTCCAGACATTTTGTGAGAGGTCCGTTTTTGTAAAATTGTGAAAAAATTACTCGTAATTTGTGAATATAAAATAAANCGAACTTTATCTGCAATACCGACATACTGCCGATATTGCAGTTGATATCGATAGTACCATTGTGATTAGTTCGATCGATAACTATTTGCAAAAGTGATATTGAAAAGGAAGATGCTAAACATGAGGCAAGAAAATTGATTGTTAAATTAAGTAATTTTGAAACTGCGTTTATGACCGTAATTTGGGAGCATGCATTAAAATAAGTTAATATTATCACTTTAGCTCTCCAGGAACCAGGGATAGAATTGTGCACAATAGTCAAATTGTACGATAGTTTATTGCAACAGAAAGAAGAACAAGAAGTAATTTCAAACTCGAATCCAAGACAAATGTTTTTGTCAGGAACGTATTACGCCATTTTAGATGTATTAATTTCAGAAATGACTAAAAGGCGTAAAGCTTACAGTGATTTGTACGATAATTTCGGTTTTCTTGTTCACAAAAATTTGTCAGAATCTGAGATTAAACTAAAAGCGCAAAATTTGGTGAAAATNTTTGTAAGGGAGAGCCAGAGAGATGCTTCATAAGCTTATATTCATGATTAATATTCATTTTTTATCAGTAAATAGTTGTTATAATCATAAACTCAAGAAAGAAAGACATATTTGTTAATTTTAATTACTTCTTCAGGTCATCTTAGGTATGTGTAAATGGTAATTGTGTAGAATTTTAAATATATTTTAAGTAAACTAAGAAATATTGAGAAAAAGGAAAGAAACCTTGTTTAAATTTTTTTCAATTTAAACTTTTTTTTTTTTAACTCAAGAAATTTTCCGGAATTTTGACTTGGACTCGCAATCACCCATGATCATAATATAATATGGAATGCATCCAAATCCACCTAAAATCGCTGTGCTTCCCAATTTTTGTTGATTTTTTAACGAAAATTTTACAATTTTATTTGACAAGTGTCTCAAGGGGTAATCTAGCAATTAAGATAGGTCTGTACAATGTGTTACAGTAGTGCTTCTCAACCTTTTTGTCGGTGCGAACCAGTCAACGTTTGATAATTTTCCTATGCCCCTCTGAGGTAAAAGGGAGATGCTGATTGTTTATATTTTAGATTGTTTTGATTTACTAATTATAAATTAACTGTAAACATGTCTTCAAAGTAAAACACAATTACATACGCGGTATTCGTGCGGCTTTATGTGATGGTTCTCAGCTCCCAGTTAACCTCTCGTCCATGGAAAGTCGTACAAACCCGAGAGAAATAAACCGCAGTAAATAAAATGAAAATATTTTATTGTTCCTCGATCGATTCGCGACTAGGAGGTTTGAAACTACAGTGTTAGAGTATCTCCACTGGATTTTTTATTTCCTTAAGGGAAAAACTTATACTAATAATTACTGCGTTCTTTAATCTATTTTTAGAAGAGGATGTAGACGTTAATTAGGTGAACTGGTTTTGTTCTGAAAAATAAAGTACAAAAGAGAATTTAATGATTAGAGAAGCAGTGAGAAACAGAGTAATTAGATGAGATATATTGGCTTTCAACTGATATTCTAAATTATGGATTTCTGCCAAACTATTGGTTCAATATTATAAACATTTTTCTCTAAACAAGGCTTTTTTCATTTGCAAAATGTACAGTAGATGAAAAAGGGTACAGTCTATACTAGAAATCTTAAATTAAAATGGGATATTTTAGGTGTAATCTTATGAAATTAATTATTTTAAAATATTTTAAATTTAATTAATTATTAATAAATTAAAAATTTGTTTCTACATTTCTCTAAAAATATCATATTAATTTTGAATTATTGGGCATTTATAAAATAATATTTATTGACTTATTTTAACAAACCCAGACGGATTTACCATGTTTGCGGAAAATTCTCAAGGCCTTATATTTCCCAGAACTCTGTTTTTAAATTTTTTTTTTTTTTTTTTTAGTTGCTATAATCTTTGAAAAATATTTTCGGAAAGTAAAATCTGTATTTCGTTGAAATTTTCTCTTTAACTAGCAAAAAAATTATTTGATTTTGAAAAATTCTTGATTGCCCATGAAAGTATATTAACTACTTGCCAGTGTCGCTCTAATCCAGTTTGAGGACAACTACTACGTGCAGTATTTGTGATGCCCGAGCTGAGTTCGTTTCTACTTAAGGATACTTAATTCACTATTTTCCTAATAGATGGCATTAGCGGTCCTAGTTTTTCACGGATTACGACTTCGGTCGAAGGAGGGATGGTGGGGGTTTTTGGGATATACCTTACTGTAAAAGATTTGTAAAATTTGTATATTGAAAATCATATTGTTGTGTTTTTATATTATATTTAGCTTCAAAATTTTGTTTAATTTGCTCTAATTGAATAAGATGTGTTTGTAATACATTACTTTTTTATGTGTATGAAAAAAATCATAAATACAGTAGTTATTGCAGTTAAAATTTTATTTTTGTAATAAAAAACCATTTTCTAACTTTTATAATAATATTAAGAACAAAATTAAACAGTCAAATTTTTTTTTCCATTTTTGGTCCATTTTTCTGAAATATATGTCACAGTGAAGGGGTTAAAAGAGTAATATTTTATAATTTGTAAAGGGACTTATTTTTGTACCAATAAAAAATTTTGTAGCAGTTTTTTATTTATTTAGACCCGATATTTCGTTAGGACTGCCTGAAGTTCTCCTGAATCTTGTTGGTGCGTTCAGCAATATACTCTGCACCCTTTGAGCTTAAAACCTAAATGAATTCTATATAACAAGTGAAATATGTATGCATGTTACACATGATTTGTTTGATAGCTAGGTAATGTATTATAATTTAGAAAAATGTTTTGTCATATACTTCATTTTTTCACGTATTTAGTTCATTTATATTTTGTTTGTAAAAATCAGATTAATTACATTATATAATTTTGTATTGAGAGTTAAGTTTACGAAACGTTAATTTGATAATTTTACAAGCAATGTTGTTTGATAATCGCGAAAAAAAAATTTTTTTTTTTCTTCAGCTATAGACAAAATACAAAATTTGTGCGAAATCGATTAAATAGTTCCTGAGAAATTTAATTTTAAAGAAGCCATTTTGTATTAGTGTATTTTGAATCATAAAATTACATTCTTTAAAATTATGTGAAAAATTGTATACCTTGCGATTAAATTTTTTTTTACTATTATTAAATAAAGTAATAAAAAATAATGTTTATTAAAAATTATTTTTTGCACGGAATTATCTTCCGATAAACGATTTTCATAACTGTATGTAAACATTTCTCAATTTGCTTAAAAATTTTTCGAGATAGGGCGAAATACTCATAATGTAGAATTAACATCAAGGGGTCCTCTCCTGACCAAACTATTGATATCATATTTCCCAGAGTGCAGCTACCCCCTATACTTTGGGGGTCAGAAATCCAAATCCGTCGAGAAAAAGAAAGTACGTTGTGTCTGATTTCGTAACTTAAATATTGTCTGTACTAATTAGCATTGAGGTCACTCCCTCGAACTATAAAGATTGAGCCCTAGAAAGTGAAGATCCGCTCATTAGACCAAAAGTTAATCAAGGTGACCTGTTTTTTATTTTGCCCAATTTGCACTTGTGTTATATAAGAGGCAAAGCGAAAGATCTCGAAAGTATAAAAACAATCTTTACCCTTATTCAATTTGAAGAGAGATTCTAAGCGCTATGATAGGATTTCATCTGGGACGTACTGCTATTTCGTTATGTTATACTTGATGTTTTAACATTGAGCGGGTTGTACAAAAGCGAAATTTTTTTTAAAACTTGCATTATTAAGAAGTTAATATCAATCCTATTTATTCTCAATGGCATCGAAAATTAAAAGCTCTGTTTAATTAAGGTCTTTTTATTTACTAAAGAATTAATGAAATAGTTTGAAACTGATATAAAATTATTTATTCAAATGAATCACCATTTAAATTTTTTTTCTCTTGCATTGCTGGTATTGCATTAATATAGTTGATTGTTAATATTCAGATTTTATTTTATATGATGCACTCTCTTTTATCATAGATTCAAGTTAAAAAATCTGCATTAAGTTCAATCTTTGTACTTAAATTTTATTTTAAATATTTCCTTGCATTATTTATACATTTTTTTATTACGAAATCATTACGAATTTTGGCATCATAGAATTTAAAATATTAAAAATAGCTATAGAATAAATTTTTTTTATTAATTCTATTTTTTATTCTATTTAATTTTTTTAATTTATTTTGTGAGTAACTCTTATAAAATTTAAGCATATATTTAAATTAAAAGTGAACTAGTGGGCTGCGCCCCCTGCTCGCTAACTCTCGCCAACCCCCGAAAATTGCTACGCAATCTTATATAGTTTGCTAACAAACCAAGCTCGCTTCGCTCGCTACTAACTTAGGTACATTGCAAATGCACAAAATTCTAAGAATTCAAAACAATCATTCAAATCCATATAACAATTTTTTTTAAAAAAAAAATTACATCTTTTTAGTAAATACTAAGTTTATAAAATAAATTTGAATTCAAATAAATGACATGTAATTCGTTAAACCTATTAGAAATGTGCTATAGTATAAAATCTTAAAGCGTAACAGCAAGACTGAGACTCATTTTTCAATGAATAATTAATAACACTAATAAAACAAATAAATTCGTGATATAAATCAAAAATCGTCAAATAAATTCGCAATATATAAATTCG